AACTGCTGTTCCCTCCCACAAATGAGCTATGCAGCTGCCTGCTGTGGTTTCCTGCCTGCCCCCTCCACATCCTTGTCTATATAAACTCCGAGTCTCCCTTTTTTCTGCACTTCTGCCTTGTGTCTGAATCCTCAACGTCGGTCGAAGGACAAGCAGACAAAATGGTGAGTAACTGTCTGGCTGATGACGTAGACTTGAAATTTTCATTCTTTCTCCCCTCCTTACTCTTTTGTTTCTGTTGTATGGATTAAATATCTAGGCTTTTTAAAATGCTCCAAGTCTTCAGTGTTGTGTTGGAGTTTACTTAAAATCAGATTATATTAAGTGATCATACTTTTGAGCTAAATTTATACAGAACTTTTTTTTTTAGGGCTTGTCTGAGAATTCGGTGAGAACAATGCACTAGTGTACTTGCATTTGACTAACAGAGAAGTCATTTCTGTACTCTTGGGGAATCTAGGTCAGATGAGACAATGAGTTGAACTGTTGTCCTATTCAAACCTCCTTAATGCAGAGCTTTTAGTATAAAAAGAGAAAATATATAAAGTCTTTAGTTCCTAAACAAGCACAGGATACTGTTTTCACAACTACAAAGTAGTGAGCGGGGTAATCGTGGCAGTGGGGGATGGATTAAAATGAACAGGGAAAAAGAGGAGTGGTCTGGCCTACAAGTGAGAGTTAGTTCGCTGCCATTTTGCAGCTGTTAAGAATTTTAGGGTTGAAGGATGTGGAGAGAAAGAGAGGGTGAGACAGTCATCCCTTCCCGTTACACAGCGCTATGGAGCCAGACAGGATAGGGGAGGGGAGACACAAAATGGGAAGGGATGAGGAAAGGGAGGAGATTCAGGATGAAGAGGTGGGGGTAAGGTTTTCTTCTTGATGCATGACCTTCCTGTTTGCCATATACAGGATTGTATGTTGCCTTTTTTCCCTCCCCCAAGTTATAAAACTATCTTTTAGGCAAATGAGGAGCTTGCCGTTATTAACTGTATATCCTGTCCATTCAACTGTAAAAACCCAGAGTTCAGACACTGCGTTGCTTGTATTATATGCACCACTGAAAGCTTAAACATTAGTGTTCTGATACACTTTTCAGTAAGCAAGCTTTCTGTCCTTACTAGAGGTATTTCTTTTTCACAAATTGAACATTGTCTTGTAAATTAATGGGGGGGCAGACTAAGGATCTATAACAATATACACTCCTATGAGTCCCCCTAGCCCCCCCACCCCCATTAGTACTCATTAAATAAGTGCACCAGATATTGCTGTGCCTTTTAGCAGTCATAGCTAGTTCAAATTATGATAACTGGTGTCAGGCAGCATATGTGTACATAATCTTGCTTTGTCTAAAAAAGATTTTTCCCCCTCCCCCAGCGTGAGTGTATTTCTATGCACGTTGGCCAAGCTGGAGCCCAGATGGGCAATGCATGCTGGGAGCTGTACTGCCTGGAACACGGGATACAGCCAGATGGACAGATGCCCTCTGACAAAACTCTCGGGGGAGGAGATGACTCCTTCAACACCTTCTTCAGTGAGACGGGGGCAGGAAAGCATGTCCCCAGAGCAATCTTTGTTGACCTGGAACCAACTGTCATAGGTCAGTAATGTGCAAATAAACAAGTACTTGCATATATTGTCATGGATAATCTGAAAACTGTTAAGATGGATGTAAACAAACAAACAAAAATAACTTCAGATGTTTGGGTTAAATTTCATTTTCTTGCAAATTGTTATTATTATTATTTTTTTGTTTTTTTTGTTATTATTTCTAAATGGCACTGTCTTCAAAATAAAGGGACTCCTCTTAATTTGATGCAAGAATACAGGACACTAGCTCGTGCACTCCTAACGTTTTTTTTTTTCTTCTGTTTCTTGCAGATGAGGTGCGTACAGGAACCTACCGTCAGCTTTTCCACCCTGAGCAGCTGATTACAGGAAAGGAGGACGCTGCCAACAACTATGCCCGTGGCCACTACACCATCGGCAAAGAGATCATAGATCTGGTCCTGGACAGGACACGTAAACTGGTGAGACTTTGTGACAGTGTCAAAGCTATAGATTTGGAGTATATTAAACATTTTGCTCAACTAAATGACTT